CTCAAGATCCGCTGTAACCTCTGGTCTGGGGATCGACCATAGACAAGCATGACACAAGACTAGCTGGTGTTACATTGAACATGTCGAAATGTGAGTTTGGAATGTGAGCGACCAGGGGTATTCACAGTGTTTTCTCTTCAAAATTGAAATTTCACTGCCACCATTGAAACAATTTATAACGGAAACTGTTTACCCACTCGACATTATACAAGGGATAACGTTGTAACGTTAGTGACAGTCGTAAATCGCGGGCTGTTTATTCCAGTGGACGCAAGTTGCAACTAAAACAATAGGAGGCAATGGCGCAACGCTACCCAGCAACAGCTCAGTAATGGCGCCCCGCTTACTTCCGGTAGTTTCGCCGGATTCGTCTATAGCAAGGAGACATGAATTGTTTAGTAAGAAAGATGAAGTTGACGATGCTGACTCGCGATCTTCGCTGTAGGCTTGTGAATGCACCAGAGAGAAATGCACATTTCATTTCATAAGCAGAGAGCAGTCTGTTTTCTTTTGTTTTGAATTGTTCTGTTTACAAGTAGACATTCAAGATATATTTTTCAGGTCTGTGGAGTAGGCTATACTTAAACGCTGAGTACAGGATATTTATGAGACGCGCACCAGCACGCCCCCGCGCCTTATCTAATATTGCCTGCTTTTTCTTCTTAAAGGCAACAGACTATGTGAAAGTTTTAAAGCAGTCTTTTATTGCCAGTTCAGAGCGGTCGCGTCTGTAAAATGGTTTTTCCTCATAAATGCGAACACGAAAACTAAAATAAAATGATTATTTTAAGTTCTATGGAGACTGAAGAGACAACCCTTCCTCATCCGATTTGCGCAGTAATTCACAGAATATATTTTGCCTCCTATTTTTTGTCACGCATGAATGTGTGTCTTTTCCCTAATATTAAAAATAAAACGTAGACTAATATTTGTCTAATGTCTGAAGTCCTTTAAGGGAGTAGCCTATATGGATAAACATACGTTTCAATACATTATGTATTTTCTGAGAATTTATATTTCAAGTTTTGACTGCAAATGTCATAATGCTGGACTTTAAGTCCGTGTGATGAAATTCACTGAACTTGAGTGGGCGCCAAGCGGCAATACGCCTTATTCACGGCAGCGCCATCTTTGATTTTTAATGAGAATGAAAGCGAGGCTGTGAGGGATAGATCTGCATCTCTTCAATGGGCTGTACTGTTATGTGTTTTCGGATTGTTCTGCTTATAAAACACTGGAAAAATATCTTTCCAAGAAATTTCAGTTGACAAAAAACTCCCGACAATGTAAGCTGTGGAAAATTGTAAGTAATCTGGCCGCTTTATTCAGCTTTTTACAGCGGATGCCATTGGAAACACGGTACGTCTATCCCTCACAGCCTCACTTTCATACCTGTCATGGCGCTGCTCTGAATAAGGCCTATGAATCGCATAGCCGCTTTTTTAGAAGGCTATTTTCTGTGGGGTGCCAGAGCCAGCTGAGAGCCAGTGTCTGTCCAAGGGTCCGCTCAGACAAAATTAACACAACTGGCAGAGGAACGAATCCGGAGAGGCAAACATTTGTAACTGTGTAACTTTTTTAAAAAAGAGTCAAAAGCACACCGACACTTGCTTGTTGTGAATTGATAGCTCATGGACAGCTCCTACTCAAGCTCTCATCTCACCCAAATTCGGAAGGGAATGATTCAGATTTCTCTCGGCACAGCTATTAGAAGACTTCCGACTGTCAGACAGGTTGATCACGTCACACGTCACATATGTCGTCAAGCTCAGTTTAAACCTGCGCAGTCACTCAGCCATCAGGATGTGAGGGCGTCTTGAAGTCCATGGAGTCACTGTATCCATTTCTTTTACTGTCTATGTTCTTTACCAATGAGAGCTGCTGGTGATTGAGGGGGATCCCCTTTGAGAGAGAGAGAGATCAGGAAAGGATAAAAGTGTGCGTGATCATTTTTTGGGGGGGATTTTGTACGTTGGACAGACTAATCCCTTTTTTTGTATAATAAGAAAAAAAATTATTAAGAGTAAATCACTTTTTTTGCTGGGGGGTTTGTCTTACTATTTTAAGTCACTGAAGTACTGAGTTTTGTGTCACTTAAAGTGTTGCACTATTAAATGTGGTAACATTGTATTGTACTTTTCCCTGAACCATTCAAGATTCCATCACTATAAGTTAATTATTCTGTAGTTCATATTCCTTAATTTTTCATTTCATTGTTTTGTTTTATTTATTTATTGTTTGGGGATTATTCAATAAACTTTATTATTATAACTTTCTTATGGCCAACCTGTGTTTTTTTTTCTTTTTTTCTCAATCACATGAGACTATATATTTATTGCCAGAAATCTATATCAGGGGCCGAATAGCCTATAAAGCCGCCCAGAGAAACATTTTAGTCTTACGTCTGTAAAAATTCTAAGAATGACATAATTGTTATTATTTCTCAAACATATGAGAATATATGTTTATTATTTGGTATGCACCGCGCTATACATCAAATTATTCTCGTTGTATTCTTGTATTTAGCTAACTATCCATTCTTCAGGGGAAGGACCAGACATTTCCAACTGATCTTCAAACCATGCAGCAAAATCAAGCAAGTTTTATGCGGTTTTCGTGCTTCCCTGAGTTGTTGAAGCTGTTGATGGAACTCATGTTTGCAAATGAGGAAACGTATCAATTGAAATGGATTACGCAACATCAATACAAGTTTGTGATCATTTTGCTCAACGGAAAGCATTATTTTACAATAACTGTAAATACATAAACTGAATTAGAAATCTCCCAATGAAAATAGTTTGATAAACAATTAATTAATGAATTATGATGGATTCAACTAGTACACAAAATAAGTTAATTTCAGTACTTTTTAAGACAAAATTGTTTGTCAAAATATGACATATAACCATTTAGCCAATGTAAGAGCCTAAATGACCTTATTTCATAAATAGATAGCAGCTGTAAAACAAGTATCCATTTCATCTTCTCTCAGTGTTGTGTTTTTCAGAGTCCATTTTATGAGAGGAATCGCATCTTTAAATATACATAGAAAAACAACTGGAGCCATTTTACCAAAAATAATTAGTGTTTACTTCGGGTTCATTAATGATCAATACAATGTTAAAAGTTTTATTCATTTATACGAGTATTTTCACATTGTTGCTTTACTGTTCAGTTCATCTTGTATACAGTTACACTCAGTGTTTACTGCGCATGTGCAACACAACAGAGGATCAATACGGGTGTCGTAAGAACAACACATTCAACACTTACAATGCAGTTCACAACCATTTAAACCGGTTCCCCTTATCAAACAATCAAACTTAAATACTAATTTTAGGCCATGTCCACACTAATATGTTTTTTGTTTGAAAACATATATTTTTTTCTCCAGTTTGGTCTTCCGTCCACACTGAGACGGTGTTGTAAGTTAATGAAAACTTAGCTTTTGGAATACACTTTCCAAAGTGGATAAATTTGATAACGCCATTTTCACGTTTTAGTGTGGACTGTGAAGCCAGAGGGATTTGAAACCAATGACATAAGTTTAGTCATGTGATCCATGTTGTACCAATAGATATTCATGTTTACTGGTATAGTGCCTGTTATGTGCTATTCACTATTACACTGTTGATAAAATATGTTACTTTGCACACTCTTCATATCACAGTCCTGCACAGATGCGTCAATACAGGAGAGCAGTTGCGTTTCAGACCAAACATATGGTGACTGAGTGCGACCTTGAATTAGCCTGTTAGCAGAATTGCGCGATAACTTAATTTTTTCCATCTGTATCATCTCGGTGGGCTTTTGTGGGGTTTCACACATGCGCAGTAAAGGTGAACTTAGAAGTTTCTCATCCACACTGAAACATCTGAAAACGTCTTAAAACGCTAGTGTGAACGGAAAGCATTTTTAAACAAAAAAAATAAATGTTCAAATGTATCCATATTAATGTTGACATAGCCTTAGATTGTATTACTGTATTAAATGTAATTCCGTCTACCAGTTATGGAAGTAAACTTTGCTCACTTAGACAACTTCGGGCAATGATTTTTCTTATGTTTCAGTAGATTAGATAAATGGCTGTAACTCGCCTCACATGAAGAGCACTGGTGCGGTTTCCCTCCTGTATGAACTCTCTGATGAGTTTTCAGGTTTCCTGAATGAGAGAAACTCTTTTCACAGTGTGAACACTTGTACGGTTTCTCTCCAGTATGGACTCTCTGGTGTGATTTTAATTGGCTGGATGTAGAGACGCTCTTTCCACAGTGAGAGCACACATAAGGTTTTACACCAGTATGAATACGCTCATGCACTTTTAAAGAGCCAAAATGTAAAAAACTCTTTCCACAGTGAGAGCACACATAAGGTCTCACACCAGTATGAAGACGCTCATGCTGTTTTAAAGATGCAAGATGTGAAAAACTCTTTCCACATAGAGAACAAAAGTGACGTGTCACACCAGAATGAACTTTAAGGTGACTTCTTAAGCTTGATTCAAAAACATATGTTTTATCACACTGATCACAGCTGAATGATCTCACTCCAGAGTGAGAGTGCAGATGATCTTTGAGATTTCTTTTGGATGTGAAACTCTTTCCACACTGAGTGCATGTAAAAGGCTTTTCTCCAGTGTGAATAATCATGTGTCTGTTCAGGGTTGATTTATATTCAAAACTCTTTCCACACTCAGAGCAGGTTAAAGATCCTTTGACTCCAGATTTTCCAGCTTGTTTCTGTATGAAGTTCTCTTCAGTCTTTGAAACGACTGCATTTCCATTTTCATTTGTGGAATAATGCAGTTTTTGAAACTGATGCAGTTTGTCTTCATTCACTTCCATCAGGTCTACAATAAACAAATTAAATTCCCATAATTTAATAAAAGGATACTTGAGAAACAAAAACAAATCCAGTTTACTACTGACTCTAGTAGTATCTATATTTAGATGTTATTGTTATAAGTGAGTTTTCATCAGAGAAAGAAGAAAAACACCAACCTATTTGTTCCTCTGTATCTTCATCTTTTATTCTGCAGGGTTCTTCCTTAATCTCCATCTTTACAATAGTATGTCCGTAGTTTCTCCTGGAGTAATTCCTCCTGCTTGCTTCTTCTCCTGTGGGAAGATGGGAATATTCCCCAGCATTTAAACTCTCATGAACGGCTGTGGGAGCTTCACTGACTGAAGGAGTGAATTGTGGTCGTTGTTGCTCATTTAGCAGATGATCATCACACTTAAACTCACTCCCAAGTTTTCAGGTGCAAATGTTTTGCTCTAATAGCCATTTAGAAATAATTGTATAATTTGAGGTTTTACTGTAAGGATTACGCTAGTATTTTGAATCAATTATTGGATAAAAAGGAGTTGAAGGCAGTTGAAGACTTTTGTGTCACAAAAAAAAAGTAGCATACATTTTTAGCAGCAAAGTGAGAAAAATAATGTAAAATGATGTGCTACAATTTGTTTTTACACCAGGTTTATTTATTACTTACAAAACACAACTCACTATCTTTACACTTTGTTAGTTAACTAGTCAATGATGCGCTTATGGTTTGTTATATTTACAACATTGCTGAAAATTAACCATGAGTTAAAGTTTAGTAATCATTGTATTTTAGCAGATTACTGTTTATATAACCAGCAGCAAATACAAACTATGGTAATGGATTTAACTATAATAACCATGTTTTTTATTTTTATTTTTTTTTCTATTTATTTGTAGAAAACTCATATGGTTCATTTTCCGTAAAGATTCACTTCTGAAAAGAGTCTCAACTTCGGACTCAAGATCTAATTCAGATTAATTCGGCAAACAATCCGGCTGGTTAAATTCACTAAAATGAATCTTTAATAGTCTATTATTATATAATAATCTAGATTTATCCAATTCAGTTATAGAATTAATGTACTCACAGTCTATAAAACGGCAGATTTAGAGCTGAATGAACGGCTGTGTTCCACTTCTCATGTTCCCTTCATGGTTCCCTTCCCTCTCGCTCACTTCTCTTCTTCTCCTAGACTCGGATGTGTGTGTCGTTGCTTCGGTTTTTAGAGCGCCTCTACCGGCAGAAACCATATTAAACTACAAACTCTAGGCTTGTTTGAGATGAGCAAAATCTCAAGTGTGTTTGAAATGTGTTTGAAACGGTGAAATGTGTTTTTTTTTAAATGCTTTATTTAAACATTTAGTTTACAGTGTGAAACAACATAGTAATAACACAACAACATAATAGCACAAAACAAAAGTTAGAAAATGATAAACAGGAACGGGAAAATAAAAAATAAAATAAAAAATAATAAAAAAATAAAAATAAAAAGAGGGCATTACTTAAATGAAAATAAATCTAAACATTTGATAAAGTAAAAAGTTTGTAGGTCTTACAGATTTTACATGTTCTGGGTGCTTTTGGGTTAATACCAGTTGTTCCATCATGGTTACTACCTCAACCTAGAGTTAATATTTCTGTATTAAAAAAGGTTAGTTCTAGCAAAAGCATGTTTAGTATGCAAGCTTATGTGAATACTTTGCTGCATGAGAGAAATGGGTATTATGTACATGTATTCACGGATGGGTCAAAAAATCCAGAGAATGGAAAAACAAGCTGTGCATTTTACATTCCTGAACTAAAAATTAAGGTGTTTAAAAGACTAACTGATCATTTGTCGGTCTATGCAGCAGAAATGATGGCAATCATGTTTGCATTACAATGGATAGAGGAAGTCAAACCCATGAGAATACTAATATGTTCAGATTCAAGTGCAGCATTGGCTAGCCTCAAAAGTACGTCATCAAAATGTAGGGAGGATATTATGTTTGAAAGCTTGTTATCACTATATTGTGTATGTAGTATGGGGATTGATGTTCGGTTTTTATGGATCCCAGCACATATTGGCATCCAAGGGAATGAGATGGCAGATTCTTTAGCTAAGAAAGGGTTGAAGATAAATCAGGGAGAAGTGGCAGTACCAATTAGCAAAGCAGAGATCAAATCATACATTCGAAGCAAAATTAAAATTCAGTGGCAAAAATTATGGGACAATGGAAATAAAGGAAGACATTTATTTAAGATACAGCAGAAGGTGGGGGAAGAAAAGACTCTGGGGAATAGCAGGAGAGAACAGGGTATGTTGAGCAGAATCAGGCTAGGTCACACAAGGTTAAATTCATCACTACACACTATTGGGAAACATCCAATGGGAAATTGTGAGATATGCAATCCATTAGAAACTGTGGAACATGTGCTGTTTGAGTGTACTAAATACTCAAATCAAAGACTGGCTCTAAGGAATGGACTGGAAAAAGTAGGAATCAAACAAATGGAAATTTCAAACATCTTTTCAAATAATTCTGGAAAGTTGGTGCTTAAAAACATGCCATATTATCTACAACAAACTGGATTAACATTAGGATTTAAGCAAATGTAACAAAGATACAGTAGGTGGCGATAATGCTCCATATGGTTGCAAGTCGCCAGGAAAAACGAAGAAGAAGAAGAAGAAGAAGAAGAAGAAGAAGAAGTTTGTGTTTGCGTTTGCTCTAGTGGGAAAAAAAGAAACGAGTTCCAGTTTAACAGCTGTAGTTTAGCCCACGTACGTGGGTTGATTAGTCTCTTTAGTTCATCCTGTGAAATCCAGCTTCCAATATTCAATGTATTGAGTGAATGAAGAAAAGTAAGTGACTGTTATTTTGTTGTGTTTATGTAAATCGTAGATTTACCGTGAATTCATATGTGCCCAGCGAGATGAGTGAGATTTCTGTTGTTAGAACAATGTTCATGCTGTAAAATGCTGTGGAATTAATCAGCTAACTTGTGTGAGCCTTCTAATGTTCAAGTTACATGCTGATGTTTATTTCATTGAGTTAAAGAGAGTTAATATAGTGCTCAGGAGACCATGTGCGAACTGTTTTGTGTGGTAGCCTTGTCTGGCCAGAGGATGTCGCCATTATTTCTTCTGTAAACTCCTTTTAATACAGTTTTATGTAAACTGTTTTATGGTTAGTGAGATGGGTAAAATTCTGTAAAAAGAATAATATTTATGTAATTGGAGATTGTTTAAAGGGGCATAGCAATGTTTATTGAGATTTATGTTTGATGATCCTGATTTATTATTCATGTTGCATAATAATTTACTAATGAAACTGTTTAAAACTACAGTAACTAATGTTAATTGTGATTTATTGTGTTTTATCAGACTATAATGACAATACTGGATATTGGAATGTTCTGACAAGTGCCACTGGAATTTAATACAGTTAAAGAAGGAAATTACATTACTCCTCGTCTTTATTCCTGTGTCCTGACCAATACACCATCCTGTTTACTGGCTGAAACCCTTTATGAACTAGCCCAACTTGATTACCTCATTAACATATGTACATATATTTCGATAAAGTTTTACATATATTTAAAATGTATTCCACAATATATTGAACGCATATCTATACATATATGTATGCATATATTTCCACATAATTGTACATATATTTAAAATATATTCCACAATATATGGAACACATATCTATACATATATTTAATTTGTATATTTCCAAATAATTTCATATATTGAAATGTATTTTACCATATATTGAACATACATGGAACCTTGTATCTTTACATATATAAACAATACATTATCCCATACAAATTGTAATACATTATGGTGGCTATTAACAAATATAAAATTGCATTTATTTTCGGATATATAATTGCATATATTATATATTAATTTACCTTATATTTCAATATATTGAAAGCGGCTATCATTTGTATATTTTTCAATATATTACAATATATTTAATATATTGTATAATATATGTATCATCAATATATTACTCCAAGTATTTCCAATATATAATGTATTGGAAAATGGGAAGGAAAATAATACAATATTTCAATAATTACAATATATTTCAAGTAATATATTGGTAAATATATTTTTCTTTCATAAGGGCATACTAGATTGATGAGATTGAAGTTGGCTAATTTGTGTGTAAGTAAAAAATACAGTAATTTCATTGATTTATCAGCGACCGTACTTCGGAAGCACTGAAAATTAATGGGGTTCATTGCTGGAACTATCAGTGTTTGGAACTATTGGCTGCTCCATGACGCGCGTTACTTCCACATTCCTAAGTTCAAATGGGAGTGGCGTAACTCTCGCTCTCCGTGGCTCTGGAAAAGACGAGAGAGACGCACATACACACACAGGCTCGGACTTAGGCTATGTTTACACGGAAACGATTCTGAAGAGAAAACGCAAAAGTGGCATTGCGTCATCACTTTTTATCTGGGTTTAGACGAGCGTTTTGTGTGGGAAATCCGCGTTAAAATGATGACGCAAAAGTGTGTGAAATTCAATGTAGTATGCACTTCAGGTGGCTAGCAGTGCATACTACAACAACACCAAGTTCGTACAACCTTCACTGTCAAGCAGACTTTTGCGTTTTTACCGTTTACACAGGAACGCGGCGGTGGAGCGTTTTTAAGATTTCCACTCTGGAGGGTGGTTTCACTTTTTTTGTGTTTTTAAGCCTCTAAAACGCCTTCGCCGTGTAAACGAAAGCCATATCCGATAAAATATTGTAGCGACTGTCAATGACCGTGTAGCTCTGGCTTCGTGTGAGATGCTACACTGGTGTCAGAAGTGAAGAAATAATCGGAAAAGTGATTAAGGTAGATCGAGGGTGCGCCCTGCACTATTAGTTAGGGAAAAGTTTAGTTAGCTAAGTTAGCGATAGCGAGACCGCGTCGCCACTGTGTGCGTGGGGAGATGAGTAGCGGAGAAGGAGCCCGAGCCGCGGAATGGACGTTTGGAGACCTACAAAGGGAGCTGCAACGGCTAGAGGACAGCAGAGGCCACCTTAGGGGCACGATGGAAGCGATGGCTTCCGAGGCTGGCTTTGACAAACGAGCGCGCGCAGGCTTCGCTACCCTTCGCTAGAGTGCAGGCACCTACGTCAACCCCGGCGCGGGAAGCTCGGAAGTAAACAACAATGGCGGCGCCCAGTCCACAATAACAGCAGTGACGGCTAGCCCCGTGAAAACCCCAAAGTACAACGGGAAGGTGAGCTGGGAAGCTTTTCATGCACAATTCGAACTGCTTGCTAAATCACAGAACTGGTCGCAAGAGACTAAAGCGGTACAATTGGTGATGTGCCTTACGGATGAGGCTTTAGCATGCTTGCTACTCTTAGATGTACAGGACATAGAGAACTATGTCGCACTGGTGGGGGCTCTCCAGAGACGGTTTGGGAATTAAACTGCAATGAACTGAATAACAGGTGCAGAAGACATGGCGAACCGCTACGGCAACTAGCCAATGACATTGAGAGCCTTGCCCGCAGAGCATATAGCAGCATGCCCACAATGGTTCAAAGTGAGTTAGCCCGCAACCGGTTCATGCAAGCCCTCTCACCGCCTGAACTGCGTGTGGAGGTACAGCTGACACATCCACAATCCCTGCAGGAGGCTTTGGAGAGGGCGTCAAGAGAGAGAGATTGCCCGCGCCTACGTGACAATGCCCACACAGGAACACAACAGTCCCCATGTCAGCGCAGCAGCGGCTCAGCAAACACCAGCATGGGCAGTGGAGCTGACAGAGCTGATGCGGGCAGCTTCCCTGGGCACTCCACGGCGCCCTGACCGCACTACTAGACTGTGCTGGGGCTGCGGGGAACCTGGTCACGTGGTACGCTCATGTCCGAAAGCCACCAGACTCCAGGGAAACGACCTTGGGTCCACATAGGGGGGGCAACGTGGACCACGAACCACAGCCCCTCACAAACACCCTCAGGCATCGCTGGCCCGATGGCGGTGGCGGTAGTGGGCCGGACTTCAATTGGGGGCCTCTGCCACGTTCCAGTCACTGTGGAGGGAGTATCGTGCGTGGCGCTGGTTGACACTGGCTCTACGGTGACATTAGTGCGGCCCGATGTGATCCCCAAGCAAACCGTGTTAGAGCCAACAGCAGTCCACCTACGGATGGTGACGGGGGAATTGTCACCCATGAAAGGCAAAGGAACACTGACATTTGTGGTGGGCGGTAAGACAGTGCGCCACCCGGTGTGGGTGGCATCCGTTCAGGACCCCTGCATTCTTGGGCTGGACTTTTTGAAGTACACGGGCTGTCGGCTGGACCTGGCGGAGGCCACCCTGTGCTTTCCAGGGGAACGCCTGGTCAATATGACTCCACACCCCCCGGGCGTCGAGCTCACGATCACAATCACGATCGATGATCCAGGTTACCACTGTGTCAGCAAACGCCACTGAATTCAACAGCGCTGTAGGGGCTGGGAGACCCACCCCTCAAGACCTCTGTTGCCCTACACCCCCCACTCACAGCTGGGCAGAGACACCTTACAGCCCTTGCAGCTCGGACCCCGCCAGCCACAACCCCCGCTACCCCCCTCACCCCGTCTAGCTGCCCCACCTGCGCCACAGCCAGCATACCTTACTCAGATTCCTAAGAGCCGGGCCTCTGACCCATTAGCGGGCCCGCTCCCCCAAACAGAGGAGGGAGGTGTTGTGGTGGCGGTACGGGGCATATGGCGACGGAAATGTTCTCACCTAGACCCCCAACAGAGTGAAGAGTTGTGGCAATTATTGCTTCAGTTCAAGGACCTGTTTGCATTCAAAGAAGGTGACGTGGGGTGCACACACTTAATACAACATGAAATAGATACAGGTGACAGCCCGCCTATCAAGTTACTTCCTGGGCTTAGCCTCTTATTACAGGAGGTTTGTGAGGGGGTTCTCCTGTGTGGCGGCTCCGCTGTTCAGGCTACTACAGAAAGACCAAGATTTTGTGGGGTCCAGTGAGTGTCAAACAGCGTTCACCTCGCTACAGAAGGCGCTGGGGAAGGCTGCTGTGTTGGCTCCGGCTGACCCCTCCCTCCCATTCATCTTGGACTGTGACGCGAGTGGCAAGGGTGTGGGCGGGGTGCTAGCACAGCTAAGTTCAGAGGGTGAGAGAGTGGTAAGACTTTTAATAAGCACGAACGCCGCTACTGCGTCACACGCAGAGAACTCCTTGCTGTGGTGTCGTCCATTCAACATTTCAAATACTATCTCTGCGGACTACCATTCACCGTCAGGACGGACCACTCTGCCCTCCAGTGGCTCATGTCCTTCAAAGAGCTGGAGGGCCAGGTAGCACGCTGGATGGAGGAGCTACAGTCCTTTCACTTTAAAGTGGTGCATAGAGCGGGAGCCCGCCACTCCAACGCTGATGCCCTGTCCCGCAGACCCTGTGCAGAGGGAGGATGCTGCCCCTGCGATCGGAAGGAGACAAGAGACTGGCAGCCATCGTCAGCCGGGCCGCGGCAGCAGTGTGCGGTGAACTCACAGAAATTTCAGCAACGCAGTGGAGACAACAGCAGGAGGCCGATATGGACATTCAACCAGTGCTCCAGTGGGTGGACAGGCAGACACGGCCATCATGGGAGGAGGTGGCACCGCTCTCCACAGCAACAAAAGGACTGTGGTCAAAGTTCCAGAGCCTGTGACTCACGGATGGGGTGTTACAGCGGGCCTGGAAGGATCCAGCGACGGGAGAGCTGAGGTAGCAGTTGGTGGTCCCCAGGGCAGAGAGACTGACAGTGCTGAAGGCCACGGGGGTCAGTCACTTCGGGGTCACCAAAACTCTCCATCACCTACAACAGAGCTTCTACTGGGGGCAGTTCAGGAGGGACGTAGAGAACTTCTGCATGCGATGTGATGCCTGCACGGCAAAGAAGGGCCCCTCCGAACAGTCACACGCCCAACTCCAACAGTTCCCTGTCGGTGCACCCATGGAAAGAGTTGGGGTGGACATAGTCGGCCCACTCCCGGTCACAGACTGCGGGAACCGGTAAACCGGTGCTGTCAGTCATGGACTACTTCACCAAGTGGCCCGAGGCTTACGCCCTCCCCGACCAGGAGGCGGAGACAGTGGCCAAAGCCCTACTGGAGGGCATGGTCTGCCGCTTTGGGACGCCCCAAACCATACACAGTGAGCAGGGGTGGAACTTTGAGTCACGAGTATTTGCCGACCTGTGTCACCGACTGGGCATAAACAAAACTCACACCACCCCCCTACACCCGCAGAGCGATAGCTTTGTTGAACGCTTCAACAAGCCATTACCACCGCCAAGCACCAACGCGACTGGGCCAAGCACCTTCCGTTTGTGCTGATGGCCTGTCGGTCTTCTGTCCAAGAATCTACGGCCTGCACGCCAGCTCTGCTCATGCTGGGTAGAGAACTCCACACCCCGCCAGCAATGGCCTTTGGCCTCCCCCCTGACACCCCAGATGCGCCCCCGGGACGAGAGTATGCCAGGAGACTACAGGAAAGCCTAGAGACAGCTCACGACTTTGCACGGGTGCAGCTGCAAAGCGCAGGGGCGAGACAACGTCGGAACTATGACCTACATTGCAAGGGCCGCCACCTGGAACCGGGAGAGCTGGTATGGGTCCACAGCCCGCAGGAAAAAAAGGCCGTTGCCCCAAGCTGGACAGTGACTGGGTAGGCCCTTGTAGAGTGTTGGAGCGATTAGGGGAGGTAGTATACAGAGTACAGCTGCCCCCACGTGGCAGACGAGTGGCCATACATAGAGACAGGTTGGCCCCCTACCATGGGGATGCTATCCCTCAGCTCCCACCCAGGCCCTCACAGACTCCCCCTAACAGCCCCCACCCGGACACAACTTACCCTGCACACCTGCCTACAAAAGGGCACATAGATACACACCCAGACATTTCCACCTTACCCCACTCTCCAAGGCCACTCTCTTTAGCTCAGGATACTGCAGTGTCTGCACGGCCCCGTAGGCAGACAAGACCCCGGTTCTGAAGCTGTGTTCTGAATGCCTGCTTGTGTTCTGGTGAATAAACCAAGTTAATTGAACTCTGGCTTCGTGTGAGATGCTACAATTTTTTTACGTTTTCACCCGCGAGCGTTCTCGTGTAAACAGGGCCTTAAAATGTAGGTTTACATTATATTGATTACATGGCTACTCAAGAAAATGTGTTAATTACTTAATCACTCAAGAAGCACAAGTTTTTTCTTTGTAACATCCATTCTACACTCAATGCACTCAAGATGCAATGAATGACAATTTTGTGCATCACCACTTAACAGCCAAATTCCATGATCACTGAATTTACAATTTTGGCTTGATATGAAGCCAAAAGTGTAAATTCAGTAATCATTGAATTGTAAACGACGATTTGCACCTGGATAATCTCGAGTGATTGTAAGTTTGATGATCATCTGCTAAATGAGCAACAATGACCACAATTCACTCCTTCAGTCAGTGAAACTCCCACAGCCGTTCATGAGAGTTTAAATGCTGGGGAATATTCTCATCTTCCCACAGGAGAAAAAGCAAGCAGGAGGAATTACTCCAGGATAAACTACGAAAATACTATTGTAAAGATGGAGATTAAGGAAGAACCCTGCAGAATAAAAGATGAAGAGACAGAGGAACAAATAGGTTGGTGTTTTACTTCATTCTCTTTAATCACTGATGAGGATCATTACGATGAAAACTGACATGACAATAACATCTAAAACTTGTAGACTCAGTAGTTAACTAGATTTGTTCTGAATTAAGATTTTGAACAATGTTTATTTTTGTTTCTCATTTATCCTTTTATTAAATTGTGCAAATTTAATTTGTTTCTTTTAGACCCGATAGAAGTGAATGAAGACAAACAGCATCAGTTTCAAAAACCTCATTTTTTCACAAATGAAGATGGAAATGCAGTCATTTCAAAGACTGAAGAGAATTTCACACAGAAACAAGCTGGAAAATCTGGAGTCAAAGGATCTTTCACCTGTTCTGAGTGTGGAAAGAGTTACATTTATAAATCATATCTGAATAGACACATGATGATTCACACTGGACAAAGGCCTTTTACATGCACTCAGTGTGGAAAGAGATTCATTAACAAAGGAAACTTAAATGGCCACATGAGAATTCACACTGGAGAAAAACCTTTCACATGCTCTCAGTGTGGAAAGAGTTTCAGTCAGAAAAGCGCTCTCAGCACTCATCTGCTCCGTCACTCTGGAGTGAGATCATTCAGCTGTGATCAGTGTGATAAAACATTTGTTTTTGAATCAGACTTAAGAAAACACATTAATGTTCATTCTGCTGTGAAGCCTCACTTTTGTTCTGATTGTGGAAAGAGTTTTTCACGACTTCGATCTTTAAAACAGCATGAGCGTCTTCATACTGGTGTGAGACCTTATGTGTGCGCTCACTGTGGAAAGACCTTCACTACATCCTGCAACTTAATAAAACATCAGAGAATTCATACTGGAGAGAAACTATACAAGTGTTCACACTGTGGAAATAGTTTCTCTTGGTTAAGAAGCCTGAAAGATCATCAGAGAGTTCATACTGGAGAGAAACCGTACAAGTGTTCACACTGTGGAAATAGTTTCTCTTGGTTAAGAAACCTGAAAGATCATGAAAGAATTCATACTGGACAGAGACCGTACAAGTGTTCACACTGTGAAAAGAGTTTTATTCGGTCAGGACACCTGAAAGATCACGAGAGAGTTCATACTGGAGAGAAACCGCACCAGTGCTCTTCATGTGGGAAGAGTTTCAGTAAATTATCTACTCTTCTGAAACATAAGAAAAAGCATTTCCTGAAGATGTCAGAGTGAGCAAAGTTCACTTCCAAAATTAGTAAATAAGCAAAAGATGGATTTACATTTGAGACAGTAATTTAATCTAAAATTAGTATTGAAGTTTGATAAGGGGAAAGTGTTGCATGTTTTAATCTCATGAAAGTACGTATCTATACAACAAATGTTATTTCTCGTGCCATTTATACGCCAAAATAGGTTTTGCGTCTATATGATACACAGTTTTCGCGTCAATATACGCACTTTATGGCGTGTAATACGGACACAACTCGCTCCTAAAGGGTTTTCCGTGCGTAGCAGATGAACGGAAAAAATACATACTGTATATTTTTCGCTTATAAATGGCACGAGAAATTACATTTGTGGTATAAATGCGCACTTTCATGAGACTGTGTTGCAGACACCCGTATTGATCCTCTGTTGTGTTGCACATGCGCATTAAACACTGTTTCTGTGTTCTGTATACAAGATGAACTGAACAGTAAAGCAACAATGTGAAAATACTTGTGTCAGTGTCATCACTCAAGCAGTGCATGGTCATCTCAAACAGATGAACAAGAATAATAGCTCAGAAAACTATCATTTTTCATTGTAAATGTGAGGCATTTGTGAAACAATGGCAACAATAGTCTATCAACTATTCATATCACAAACTTGCTGTTTAGAGGTGATGCATTGAGAACATATTGAAGACTTTACTGGATTGAATCACTCTCTGCACATTGTGGAAATATGAGAATTAAAAATGAATAAAATTTAAATGAAAATAAAATGAAAAAAAAATGAGTATATTTAATTTATTTTTAATTCAAGGGGTTTAACATTGTATTATGCATTGCTAATGAACCAGTAGTAGTAGTAAACACTAATTGTTTTGGGAAAAATGGCTCTAGTAGTTTTTATGCATATTTAATAATGCGATTCCTCTCATAATATGGACTCTGAAAAGATGAAATGGATACTTGTTTTACAGCTGCTATCTATTTACGAAAAAGGTCATTTACAGCTATATGGATGTTATATTTTGATAAACACTTTTGTCTAAAAAAGTAATTAAATTTAACTTATTCTGAGCAAATTTTGTGCACTAGTTGAATCGTGATTCATGAATCAATTTAACTGAATTAATTTGCTCTGTTTATCAGACCAATTTTATTGGGAGAATTCTATATCAGTGGCCGAATGTTTAAAGCCGCTCAGAGTAACATTTTAGTCTTTAGTCTGTAAAAATTCTAAGAATTACATGATTCTTCTTCTCTTATTCCAGTTTAGTGATGGTTCATTTCCAAGTGTATAAGAGTTGATCTAAATACAAATATTGAATGTTAAGCCTTTAAAGTGATACTTTCTCCTCAAATGCAATTTAATATTGTTGTTTTATATAATTCCCCCATCACACACTCTTTCTTTTAATGATGATATGAAGGACCTATTGGAAATGTTTGATATTGAAACAATATTTTATGGTGATTTTAATATAAACTGGGCAGATAAAAGAGGAAGACAAAAGTTAAAAACAATGATGTCCAAATTTAATAATGATCAGTTGATAAAAAAGCCAACAAGAGTGACCAGTACTATCAGACTTTGATCGATCTTATTTTTCCTAATAGGGAATAGCATATTATAAAACTGTTACATCTGTCAGCTCCAGGTGCCATCATGTGCCAACTGATGACATCCTAATCCCTCACCATTTACATTAGACGCTGTTTTTCCCGGACTTCATTTCCCAGAATCCTTTGCTCATTATTAGTTTATCTGTTTCAGCTGTGTCTTGTTTCATTTGGTCATCAACCTGTCTATTTAAATGCCTTTTGCCTTCATTCAGTATGAAGTCTTGTTTGTTTGCTGGTTTGGTTTTCACTCTGTCAGTATTTTGAGCAGTTCTGGTTTCTTTATATTTTCCTGAGTTTTGGATTTCTTGTTCTTCAGTCTGCCTCAGTGGATTGTATTTGCTCTGATTACAAGTGCTTGACCCTCTGCCTGGTATGGACTATGACCGTGGATTATATTTGTTAATAAACTGCGTTTGGATTCTCACTCTCTCTGCTGAATTCTGTCTTACCACCACATCATACAGAAGACTTCATCATGAATCCAGCAGTTGAACTAGTTCGTAAGCGTCAAGGGGACCGCACACTTGAAGAACATGTACACATTTTCCTTGACGTGGCAAATACTTCTGATCTACCGGACTGTGCTCTCATAGACTTTTTCTGTTACGGACTTACCCTCTTCTCAAGGATAAGCTAATTCATGATGCACCTCGAAGTTCGTTCATTGACTTTCTGGACTATGCATTATTGTGGAGCAGGTTCCAGTTTACTGTGGGAGTGGTAGATGGTGGTGCTTCGCCTAATCCTTTTTGGGTCGGGACAACATGAGACAAGCTCCGGTGGCCACAGAGCTTGACCAGCAATTTCCATCTGTGCTCACTGCTCACTTTAGTGCTGAATACCCTGCTTGCAATGTTAGCCAGAACTGTCATGTCAGAGCCGCCAGTCACCAGTATAATCACATTACGGGTTATTTTTAATGATCTGTAAGAATGGGGCTTTTTTGCTGATCATTGATTCGAGTAACTTTTTTGACATTTGGGTATAAAATGTTTTATTTCTACAATATATGGTGTAAAAACGTCTTAGTGCTGCCCTCTTCAGGTTGAACGGTGGCTACTGCAGTTGGATGTTTCTTTCCTATTGGATGTTTGTGGTTCTTCGTGATGTACGCAGGTTTCAACTCACCATGCCATTGGTACGAGCTACAGCTACCACGCCCTCGGCAGTTTAAAAATCATCTAGTTTCGTCAAAACCACTGTGAGTCAAGAGTTGGAATTACGAGTATTGAAAACGATCAGGATAGAGTATTGTAGCATCTACCGTATTTAGCATAGCATTTATATAGTTATTTAGTATATTTTGTATAGCCTATTTAGTTAGTAGCATAGAGTTAGGATAGCTTCAAGTTAGCATAGATTCATCTGTGTTTCAGGTACAGTGATCAGGATGGTAACGGACATGCACCACACAGCTCGCGCTCAAAAGCGATGCAGTGCACACTGCTCCTCCTGCATGGACTCCACCACCGCAGCGGCGTCTTGATGTGAGTGATCATGTATATTTTAATCACAATTTATGGTTAGGCTAAAGTTAATCCTCTGGGGCCGACAAACGTGCCGGCGCATTTTGCTGGATTTTTTCACATAGGGGCAAAATATCAATATGCCTACAGAGCACACGCTATTGACACATACACACATACACATCCCCACACACCTTAAATACGATTACCTTAAATTACTACTCAAGGAAATGTGTTAATTACTTAAGTCACTCAATTAGCAAAAGTTTGTTTTTTTCTTTGTAACTGAAATTCTATACTTAATGTAAAATGCAATGAATGACAATAATTGTGCATCACCACTTAACAGGCAAATTCCATAATCACTGAATTTACATTTTGCCTGAATAATCTCGAGTGATTGTAAGTGTGGTGATCATCTGCTAAATGAGCAACAACGACCACAATTCACTCCTTCAGTCAGTGAAGCTCCCACAGCCGTTCATGAGAGTTTAAATGCTGGGGAATATTCCCATCTTCCCACAGGAGGAGAAGAAGCAAGCAGGAGGAATTACTCCAGGAGAAACTACGGACATACTATTGTAAAGATGGAGATTAAGGAAGAACCCTGCAGAATAAAAGTTGAAGATACAGAGGAACAAATAGGTTGGTGTTTTCCTTCATTCTCTTTAATGACTGATGAGGAACATTAAGATGAAAACTCACATAAAAATAACCTCTAAAACTAGATCCTAGTAGACTCTGTAGTAAACTTGGTTTGTGCCAAATTGAAATTTTGAACTATGTTTATTTTTGTTTATCATTTATCCTTTAATTGAATAATGAGATTTTAAATTGTTTATTTTAGATCTGATGGAAGTGAATGAGAACAAACAGCATCAGTTTCAAAAAACGCTTTATTCCACAAATGAAGATGGAAATGCAGTCGTTTTAAAGACTGAAGAGAATTTCACACAGAAACAAGCTGGAAAATCTGGAGTCAAAGGATCTTTAACCTGTTCTGAGTGTGGAAAGAGATTCCGATATAAATCATTTCTGAATAAACACATGATGATTCACACTGGAGAAAAGCCTTTTACATGCACTCAGTGTGGAAAGAGTTTCTCTCAGAAAGGCTCTCTCAAAGATCATCTGCGCCGTCACTCTGGAGTGAGATCATTCGGTTGTGATCAGTGTGATAAAACATTTTTTTTTGGATCAGACTTAAGAAAACACCTTAATGTTCATTCTGCTGCAAAAACTCACTTTTGTTCTGTTTGTGGAAAGTGTTTTTCACGACTACATTCTTTAAAAGTGCATGAGCGTCTTCATACTGGTGTGAAACCTTATGTGTGCTTTGACTGTGGAAAGACCTACAATTAATCCAGCAATTTAAAAACACACCAGAGAGTTCACACTGAAAAGAAACCGTAAAAGTGTTCACACTGTGAAAAGAGTTTCTCTCATTCAGGAAACCTGAATACTCACGAGAGAGTTCATACTGGAGAGAAATCACACCAGTCCTCTTCATGTGGGAATTGTTTCACCAAATTTTCTAATCTACTGAAACATGAGAAAAAGAATTGCCTGAAGGTGTGCAAAGTTCACATCCATAACTTGTAAATAAGCAAAATATGGAATTACATTTAATCTAAAATTAGTATTGAAGTTTGATTGTTTGACAAGGGGAAATTATTAAAATCGTTGTGAACTGCATTGTAAGTGCTGCATGTTTTGTTCTTCCGACACCCGTATTGATCCTCTGTTGTGTTGCACATGCGCAGTAAAACAATATTATGAAGCTACAGACTACTGTAGCCTCCATCTACAGTCCCCCACCCAGAGTCCCGCATTCTCAGACCCCCTTTTGTTTTTTGAACACAGCGCCTCCTGCTGTTCAAAAGATCGAATAACACCCGCACACAGAGTACAGCGCTTGCTTATCCAAATGCAATTAAAAACAATAGGATGCAATATTACGGTCTCCAAATAAATTATCCAATAAATATTTGCTAATGCATGTGCCAAAAAAACAAATTGTTACTGATGGAAGGAATACAATTACAGATTCGACTATCTTCAGAAAAATAGTATGTGATATTACATTGCTACAATGTTTTTTTATATTTTTTTTTAATTCAAATTCAAATTTTTCTTTCAGTTCAACCTATAATGGTCTAATTAACATTACCATGCTAACACTACAATATCTGTTTTTTTTATATTTTGAATGCGAAGCAAAACAAATCAGAATAGACAAAACACAAATAATAAACAATTCTGTACTTTATTTAATGATCACCTAAACATCATCTTGCTATAAAGAAAAAACGAAGAAAAAACTGTTCGTGACTTTACATTTCGTCTTCAATTGCTTTAAAAAAACTCATTTATAAGTCGCTTTGCATAATCATAAATGACTGGATTCGGCAGGGGCAACTCCATCGATGTATGGTGTGGAATAGCCTACAACAGGCCGATAGCACATGTCTTATGATGTTTCAAAAAGAAAGGAAAAAAAAGAAAAAGATGTTTGCAAATGCTACCATATTGCACTGCTCTGCTTTGGACAACTTTGTGGGTTTGAAATATATGGGGGCACAAAATGGGCAGTGGAAAAAAAACTGCAGCATTTATAACATATCTAAAAAAAAGTCCAAGGTTAAAGGATAACGTAAACGTAAGCTATCTAAATATTTTAGGGGGGAAGAGGGCGAAAAAACATTAACGTCTCAAATCTTGTTACAAACTACCTTTACAAATATTAAATGGACTATTCATATGTTGTATCGATGAGCTAAATTAGTTTTATTAAAAAATAAAATCAAACGAGTAGGCTACTACGATTCGCTAAATGAAATTTAAGATAGCCTACTCACGTTTTGGCTTAAGTTCTTCACATGTTTATCTGATACAATTTGATAGGAGGCGCTGTCTCGAAAAATGAGGATGGGGGACTGTAGATGCAGGTCTCTGAGTCTGCAGCTTCATACTACTCCAGTAAAACACTGAGTGTATTGAGAATGAGGAGTTGACGTCATTGTACAGAGCCCCTCCCCTCTCCGCCATGTTGGTAGGATTCCCATGGCAAAATAGTATTGTTTACGTGTGTTTTAGCTCTGTAGTGTTGTATCCTATCTAGGTATTTCGGATCAAACCACACGGACACCAGATTGAACTTTTATCCCATCTTTATCGTTACTCTGTACGTAATGACGTTGATGACGTCACATCAATACACAACATCCCCCCTTTACTTGAATATAAACTTACCCAAATTAAACATTCACAGTTTCTTACAGATTAAGACTATTCAAAACATTCAAAGTACATGTAACACTGTACCTCTTGATAGAACATAAGCAATGCTTTCTGAACAGATACATCGCACCACAACGTAACTCTCAATCTGAATCTGTTTTTCTCCTTGCATAGCCAAACCTTCATCAGTCATTCAACAACATAGTCTCTAAACCTTTCAGGCAATTTGATTTGTCTCTGGGGTCTACAAAGTTTAGGAATCTGTTCCTCTCTCTGAAATGTCTCACTGTTCCTTTTGCATTCCTCTGCACTTCGCTTTTGCTCCATTTCGCTACTGGGCTCCTGAACAGAAACCGTTTCACCATCCAATGTTGATGTTTCCGCAGACAGAAACTTCTTGACACATGTCGTATTCCGTGCATATTTTGCTCCTGTGGGTGACTGAACAACAACACTGTTACCTTCTCTGCGTACAACCTTGTGAGGTGTGCTGTGAAATGTTGTTGTGAATTTGTCTGTTTTGTCCTGTCTCACAAGCACTTGATCCCCAACCGCTATGCCTGATGTCTTAGCGCCTCGTCTGTGGTCTGTGTATATCTTGGCTTTTCCTTTCTGTTCTGCGTCTTTGTCTCGAACTTCAAGATCACTACACGGAGTTGTGATGTCTGGTAACTTCCCTCTGATCTTCCTCTGAAAAAGAAGTTCCGCCGGGCTCTTGCCCGTTGTGGCGTTTGTTGTATGGACCTGTAGACAGTCACATATTTGCGTAGCTCTCTTTTCCAGTCCTGACCCTCAGCATGGGCAATCCCCACACGTTTCATCAGTGACGCATTTTGTCTTTCCACTTCTCCATTACCTTGCGCCCACTTTGGAGTTGTTCTGATATGGTGTATTCCGTTTTCCTGGCAAAAAGCCTGAAACTGACTGGATTTAAACTGCGGGCCACAATCTGACCTGATTGTTAAGGCAAGTCCATGCCGACTGAAAATGTCTTCCAAACAGTCGATCACTTTTCCTGCTGTTGTTGACTTGAGGATTGCATATTCATAATACCTGCTGTAATAGTCGACAGTGACCAGAATCGAATGTCCGTCCGGTAACGGACCAAGTAAATCTGTGGCTAAATCCTGCCACGGCCCTTCAGGCATCACTGTGGGTGACAGTGGTTCAGGAACATCTGGTCTCGCTACCAACTGACAACCATGACATGTCCTCACAAGTCTCTCTGCGGCCTTGTCTATTTTGGGCCACCAAACTTTTGTTCTCAGGTGCTGTTTTGTTCCTACCACACCAAGATGACCCTCATGCCACGCAGTGACTGTGGCAAGACAATTCTTGTTCCTCTGAGTACTATTTGGCCAATGACACATAGCTCGCCTGCAATATGTCTGTTTGCAGGACAGTCATCCAAACACCCTGTCTGAATAGCACATCTCAGTCTCTGTAATTCCACATCACTGGCTGAGATCTGTTCGACTTCCTTGGTGGTCAGGGCGCTGGGTGTGGCACAAACTGCTATAAACCGCACATATTCCTCTGCTTTATGTGTGTGCAATCATAAGGCTGTAATCTCAAGACCCACCTTTCGATTCGTGCGCATGGTTTTGAGCGAGGGCTGTAAATCGCTTCCAATGCTTTGTGGTCCGTGACAAGATCAAACTTCCGGCCATAAACGTAAGGGTGCAATCGTTCACATGCCCAGACCAGAGCCAGTGCTTCGCGCTCTGTCTGTGAATACCTTTGTTCGCACTCTGTCAAGCTCCTGCTCACATAGCAGACAGGAACCATTCCCTCACCTTGGTTCTGAACTAGTACGGCTCCAACACCCTTTTGGTCCAGCATCGGCAATGACTTTAGTTGGTGCGTCCTTATCAACGTATGCCAGTGTTGTGCCCTCAGCAGCTTATCTTTAAGGGTTTTGAAAGCTTGCTTCTGATCAGCTCCAAAATGAAATTTGGCGTCTTTTTTTGTTAGTCTGCGCAGCGGTTCTGAGATGCTCGCAAACTGAGGTATGAAACGGCTACTATAGCCAGCTAAACCGAGAAAAATTCTCACCTCTGAAACGTTTTCAGGCTCTCTCCTTTCGGCCGTCGGGCCAATGCCTTTCACTGAAAACAGCATGCCCATAAACACCAATTTGTCCATGTTAAACTGGCATTTCTCTCCATTCAGAGTCAAGCCGCAGATTTCCAGTCTCTTTAGTACTGCATGCATTCTTTTCTCATGAGCCTCTTTGTCAGGTGCATGGATGATGAGTTCGTCGGATATGTTCTCTACTCCTTCAATACCAGCTAAAACAGTGGCTATTTCGTGCTGGTACTGCTCACTTGCTGATGACACTCCAAACACCAGTCTTTTGAACCTATATATGCCATTATGAACGGCGAACGTGGTGATGTCTCTTGATTCCGGGGTCAATTCCAGCTGATGATACCCCCATGCTGAAAACGACTGACCCATTCATACCTTGCAACAGTTCATCCACCGTGGGGATCGGGAACCGCCCACAAACGATTGCAGTGTTTTCTTGTCTCATGTCCAAACACATCCTTATTTCCCCGTTCGCTTTGGGTACAATGACAACTGGGTTTACCCAAGGGGTTGCTCCATTGACTTTTTCAATAATGTCCATGTGCAGCAGCTCATTTATTTTTTCTCAACTGCCTCTCTGAGGTGAAATGGGACACGCCTAAGGGGCTGTGCAACTGGTGTCACTGTGCTGTCTATGTGCAGACTTACTTGTTTTGTGTTCAGTTTGCCTACTCCACAGAACAATATGGGGTATTTCTGTCGAATCATAGTTCACATCACTCACCACAGCAACATTAGCACCAATTTTCAGCACTCCTAATTTAACTGCTGTCTCTTTCCCGAGCAGTGGCTCCCCTCTCCCGCAAATAACTGTAAACTCCGCTGTTGTGCTGCGTTTTCCAATTCCGACCTCACACCAGAAAACTCCTTTCACTGGTAAGGGTTCACTTGCTGAGTATGCATACAGTTTTTTGTCTGATTTGGCAGAGCTGCACTTGATCTTTTTCTCTTTCAGCATTTCCCACGTTCCTTGGTCCACTATGTTGCTTGTTGCTCCTGAGTCAACTAACATGGGTAATCTGACACCTCCCTCCGAAAAGGTTATCCTGTCCATGTTGCTCTCTTCTCTTACAACAAATGCAAAGTCTTGATTTTTCACCTCTGATTCAACTCTTTTCACTGTCTGCCTTACACTTTCCTTTGTTTTACACATTTTCGCAAAATGATCTTTTCCATTGCACTTTCTGCATGATTTTCCACGTGCGGGACAGTTATAATCTTTTGCAAAATGACCTGTCTGTCCGCA